GGGGTGCTACCACTGAGGGTGCTGAGCCTGGGGGTGCTGAGCTTGGGGGTGTTATGCCTGGGGGTGCTGAGCCTGGGGGTGCTACGCCTGGAGGTGCTGAGCCTGGGGGTGCGGAGCCTGAGGGAGCTGGGCCTGCTTGTGTCGCGTCTGGCGGTGCTGGGCCTGGAGGTTTTCCGGGTGCTTCGTCTCGGCAGGAGCCACTCTCTCCACAAGAGCTGCGCGAGTGGTTTGCCCGGTGCTGGAGGCGTGCTGCTGGAGCTGGAGGTTCTTCGGCTGTTAGGGTGCTGGTGCCGCGGGTCCCGGAGGTGCTCGTACTGGGAGTACCGGAGCTGTTGGGCCTGCGGGTACGACTGGAGCTGGAGCTGCTGAGGGTGTTGGCGCTGAGGCTACTACTCTCGGTCCTAGAGGAGGTCCTGCTGGGGGTGCTACAGGTGCTGCTGGAGGTACTGGAGCTGGAGGTGTTGCTGGCGCTGGTGCTGCCGCTGGGGGTACTGGTGCTGTCCCTGCTGTATCTAAAGTCGTTGCGCGGCCTTGGCCGTACTTCGTTCCGCTCCTTCAGCAGGTTCTTGGTCTCACGCCTTCTAGTGGTCCTCCTCCTCCCTTAGAGTGTCCACACCCTATCCCGACACAGTCACAGTTACAGCTCGCCTCCCCATTGCCTGCTCCTTCTCCCTACACTGGTCCTACTGGAGGTCTTGCTGAGCGTCGAGAGCCTGCGTCTCGCCCTGCGTTGCCTGTCCGTCCTGCTCGCACTAGGGGTTGTGGTTCGCATCAGCGTCCTCCTCCTGTCCCTGGTACGCACCGGATGTCTCTACGTCCGTCCACTGCTCCTCTGCGTGCCCCTTTGCCTTCTCCTCCTGCGTCCTTGCTTCCTGCTCTTGCCGATCCGGAGTCGAACTCTCTTCGTGCTGCTAGTCCTACTCTCACGCGTCTCCTTGCTACTGTCGTCCCTGACCCTTCCTTTGAGTCCACTGCTGCGTCTGCCCTAGTTGCTGAGCTCGTCGACTTCGCTGCTCGCTGTCGTCTAGACTACGCTGCTAGTTTTGTCGCTAAGTCTGAGTCTGTCTTTCCTCCGTCCGTCGGGGGTGAGTGTGCCCTTGGCACGGACGTCCTTGAGGACAGGCACGAGGAGTTCCAGTGTTTGGCTGCTGCTTCACCTCATCTCGTGTCCGTACTGTTTACCCCTGAGGGAGACCCGGATGCACTTGACATCCCGACTCCGCGCTCTTACGCGGAGGCGATAGAGGGTCCCTACTCCTCTCAGTGGTAGGCAGCTATGGACACAGAGATGTCTTCCTGGAAGTCCACAGGCACCTACATTGACGAGGTTCCCCCGCCTGGGGCGAACATCGTCAGTGGCATGTGGATTTTCAGGGTGAAGCGGCCGCCGGGTTCTCCGCCTGTCTTCAAGGCGCGTTACGTGGCTCGTGGCTTCAGTCAGCGGCCGGGAGTTGACTACTTTCAGACCTTCTCTCCCACCCCGAAGATGACCACTCTTCGGGTACTGCTCCACATAGCTGCTCACCGCGACTACGAGCTGCACTCTCTTGACTTCAGCACTGCTTTCTTGCAGGGCAGCCTGCACGAGTAGATCTGGCTGCGTCGCCCACCTGGCTTCACTGGGTCTTTTCCTCCTGGCACCCAGTGGAGCCTGCGGCGGCCAGTCTACGGTCTCCGCTAGGCACCGCGTGAGTGGCACGACACACTCAGGACTACACTTGCGGCTCTTGGGTTTGCTCCCTCTACTGCTGACCCGTTGCTGTTTTTGCGCACCGACACTTCTTTGCCGCCGTTCTACATCCTCGTGTACGTCGACGACTTGGTCTTTGCCACAGCTGATACTGCTGGACTCGCCCACGTGAAGTCCGAGCTGCAGAAGAGACACACGTGCACAGACCTGGGTGAACTACGCAGCTACCTTGGCTTGCATATCACCCGGGACAGAGCACGCCGCACCATTACCCTGACTCAGTCACACATGGTGCAGCAGGTCCTTCAACGCTTCGGCTTCATGTACTCCTCGCCTCAGGCCACTCCTCTGCCTACTCACCACTCGCTCTCAGCTCTGCCTTCGGATGAGTCCGTAGAGTCGAGTGGCCCATACCCAGAGCTTGTTGGCTGCCTCATGTACCTGATGACCTGCACACGACCTGACCTTGCATACCCTCTTAGCATTCTCGCACGCTATGTTGCTCCTTGGAGACACAGACCGGAGCACCTAGCTGCAGCGAAGAGGGTGTTGCGCTACTTGTGCAGTACGTCGGGCATGGGGCTTGTGCTTGGAGGGCAGAGTCCAGTGGTCCTCACTGGGCACGCAGACGCTTCTTGGGCTGACGACCAGGCTACGCAGCGGTCGTCACAGGGTTACACCTGTTTGGTGGCGGGCTACTCGCTCGTCTTCTGTTCTCGGCTCCAGTTTTGAGGCTGCGATCTACGCCGGGGCCATGGCTGCACAGGAGCTTCGCTGGCTCACCTACATGCTGACCGACCTCGGAGAGCCGCCTCGTTCTCCTCCAGTGCTGTACATAGACAACAAGGCCATGCTGGCCTTGTGTCAAGAGCAGAGACTGGAGCAGAGAACGAAGCACATTGCTCTCCGCTACTTCCTTGCTCGTGAGCTACAGCAGCGTGGTCAGCTGCGCCTTGCGTACGTGGCCTCTGAGGCCAAGACTGCTGATATCTTCACCAAGGCACTTGCGCCTTGTGATCATCAGCGCTTCTGTACTCAGCAAGGTCTTGTGCCTACCTTGCCTCACTTGCTCACCCCTTGACCTTATTTGTACTGTTGCATATATATATACACCTGCTATTACTTGTCTAGCCTTATATATATATGTAATCCTGCATGTGAACTGGCCTTGTGGCCTTGAACTTGTGCTCGGAATGTGTGGTGACTTTGTGATCCACCCTGAGCTTGCTTTGCTTTGCTTGACTGGTCTTGTGACCCCTTCTTCTCCCCCACTTTGCCTATGGGGGTGTGTTAGATTTATATGACATACCTATTGTAGGCTATAGTGGGGTAGTACATATGGGGTACAGCTTTCTAGGGTTTGTACTTGTACCCAACTTTCTCTTAGTCATTTCATTCTCGTTCAGTCTCTCACTGCAGTCATAAACCTCACTATTTGATCTATTGATCAGATATTGCCTACATTTGTTATCATTTGTGACAATTTGTTTGTTTAATTTTCTAATTTCAAAGTTGGGCCTCAAACAAATGTGAGCACGTTAGTGGGCTGGTCTTCGAAGAGAAAATATTGTGTACAGTAGGATAGAGAAACTTAAAGCATTGCAGTTTCTCAAACTGCCAGCTCGAGCTGGCACCAGTAGAGCCCACCCCGCCAATCTTTGTATCCCTCCTGCACGCGGTTCATCCAGGTTCATTTGTTACCAGCTGCGCTGGCAGTCGAGCGAGCCTGCCATCTCACACAGTGATATATTCTCGGCGAATCAAGTTTCCTTTTGCCATCTCCGCCAGCATGTCTCTTGCCACGCGAAGTTTTCTATGCCACGCTGGTTGCTTCTACTGGATTCCAATTCATTCCTGGCGGTGCGCCAACTCGACCTCACCCACCCCCCTCTCCCACTTTCCCGGAGGTTCACTCCCCAAGCACTCGCTCTTCCTTGTTCCCTCCCTCCCTTGAATCTTCCTCCCTTGAACGCCTATTACTCCAGCATACCTCGTCTTTCTTTATTCACTTCTTTCTGCTCAGTTGACGTATCTGCTCCCGTCAATCAGCTCCCGTGACTCCTCCTATCCCGATGCTAGTTTCTTAACTCGAGGTACGTCTGCCATCTCTTTGTAGGTGTTTCGACTTTCCCGTTTCCAGAGTATTTTTCTTTTGTTCATCGTTCTCGACTCATGCGGTTACGTAGTTTTCCGCGCTGACCAAGCTACGTAAGTTAATATTCTTACTAACCGCGCGGTTTAGCCAGCGTATTGTTTCTGCCAAACATATGACCTGAGATCCGTGTTCTTATAGTTACATTTTTTGTGCACTACTGCTTTTGTCTTTACAGGCGTGCAATAATAACGCATGCTGGGAGATATGCACGCTACCATGCTGTAAGGTGCGGTTAGATCTCAGTCACGCTAGCTTCCTAAGACTCCGTTGTCTGTTTCCATGATGTTGTTTTGCAGGTCGCCTACAATATGTTCACCTAGTGAAGATGATAACTCCATACATGCCAAGGCTGTGCCTGTAAGCCTTCCATGATTTGTTTTCGTCTCACTCACCGTCACTTCTGTTGTGCAGCTCCATTCAAGTGGTTACCATTGTATAGATGGAGGGGTGGGAGCGTGTGTTTATGTAGTGGTTTTATGTAGGTGTGTAGATTCATTTTTTGTAGTGCTAAACAATCAGTTTGTACTAAGTTTTGATTAAATAATTTCTGCACTAAGTTCTAGATGGTGGGTTAGGAGCGTGTGTTTCTGTACTGAGCTAAAAGAAATTAATTGTTATTGACAATTTTTTAAAAATTTTATTAATCGCTATTGCTATTGTTATTACTGGGCTGTAATAGGTCGTCGTCATACTGGTTACAAACACAATCCAAATCTTAAACATTATAAGTGAACAACAGTTTCGAAATACTCTATAGGAATGTGTAGTGCTGTAACGTTACAGGTGGTAACATTCGCGCTCAACGATTTTTGGCTGCCACCACTTGGACGATCGTAAACGGTCGTTTGCAGCCGTTTACCACCACCAACTCGCCAGAAATTGGGGTCGACGTGGATTGTGGTTGCCCCTCACCTCGTTTCCCATCCAACCTTCCCCATTCGCGAACTGTCGTAAACTACCGCCCAAACCCAATTAATCCCTGTTAACGCTCGGACACTGTAGCTGAAACAATCGGGGATATATGCTGGTTCCGACACCCCCCCGTTTTCCAATCACAAAGGGCAATACCCTTGGTGGTTTATTGCCGTGGGGGTCAATCACGGTAACCACAACACAAACGATGCTCAAGAAGGCGTTTACGACCCAAAACGCCTCTTACATTTTTCCGATGAGTGTGAGCAGGGGGAAAGAGAGAGAGCAGGGGGGAAGAGAGTGAGCAGAGGGAAAGAGGTTGAGCAGGGGGGAACGGTTGAGTGAAGGGGGTAAGAGGGGTGAGAACAGGGGGTTGAACAGGAGAGGAGAGAGTGAAGGGTGGAGAAAAGAGTGGGCAGGGGGGAAGAGAGTGAGCAGTGGGAAAGAGAGTGAGCATGGCGAAAGAGAGTGAGTAGGAGAGAGCGAAAGGCAATGGGAGGGGAAGTGAAGGCGACGGGTGGGGAAGCGAGTGTGACGGGCGGGAAAGTGAGTGCGGCATGTGGGGAAGGCGACCGGAGGGGGTATTGAAAGCATCGGGGGTGAGAAGTGAAGGCGACGGAAGGGGAAAATGAAGGCGACGGGAGGGGGAAGAGAAGGCGACGGGAAGGGGAAGTGAAGGCAACGGGAGGGGGGAAAGTGAAGGCGACGAGAGGGGGAAGCGAAGGCGACGGGAGGGGGAAATGAAGGCAACGGAAGCAGGGGGGAGGGGGGGGAGTAAAGGCGACGGGGGGGGGGAAGTGAAGGCGACGGGCGGATCGAAGGCGACGGGCTGGGGTCGCGAACGCGACGAGCTGCGACAGCGATGGCGACGACGCGGGTGACAGAGAGCGGACGCGTAGGACCTAGGGGAAGGAAGGCGAGGGCGAGGGGATTGTCACGCTTGGGCAAACGGGTGTGATTCGATTTTTACCGCGAGTTTACGCTACGCAGTAGTTGCACAATAACCTGCATATCTACACAAAAATCTTCACCCAGCGAACACTAGCTTTGGGCGTCATCATCGAAATCCGCGCCACCCACATCGTAAGGCGCATCTGATCCCTTTTGAGTGAACGCCGACGCCCTGCCCTGTCTACAGGTATGCTCTATACCTAATACTCTGCGTGCTATCTCAAACTGTGCACAGTTAGGTATGCACGCGCTTTTCTGGTTGTGGGAAGGACCCCACCTATCATGGGAAGCGAGAAACTTTTGTCACAAATTGGTTTCGCGAGTGAAAGTCTCTCGAAACCCAACCAAACCTCTCCGTGTCTGCCTCCCAAACCTAGTTTTTAGCGTTGACTTCCGTTGAGAAATTAAGGTCTTGGTCTTTAAAAATGGCAGGGGATAGGTTGTCTCATGTGAGAAGTGCCGGTTCAACGTGTCTTATTCTTGGCCTTCGGTCGACACCAAGTGGGAGTGGGCCCACTCGCATTAGCGAACATAGCCCCTTCAGTTAACATATTTCGGGTTGTAACACTGCACTTCACAAAAAAGTCGGATACGATCAGCTTTAGTTCACAAGACGGCACGCCCCTTGCACATACCTCAAATTGTCTGACTTGCTCGAGTGAGGATCTTGTGGATTGCCTTAGAGAGTTCTGATAGTGGAAGACTTGTGGGAGGAACCTTGTGCATAGTGGATGTAAATGACAAGATTGATTAAAATGATAAAATACACATAATAAATAGGTCTAGCTAGCCATGTACTCTAAGGGGTACATTCCCTTATTTTAACTGCTTCACAGGCAGTTCTACAGTGACTTGGACTAGTCTTCTTCTTCTTCTTCTTCTTCTTCTTCTTCTTCTTCTTCTTCTTCTTCTTCATATTCTTCTTCTTCTTCTTCTTCTTCTTCTTCTTCTTCTTCTTCTTCTTCTTCTTCTTCTTCTTCTTCTTCTTCTTCTTCTTCTTCTTCTTCTTCTTCTTCTTCTTCTTCTTCTTCTTCTTCTTCTTCTTACCGAATCGCTGCGTGTAACTGTACACACGGCTACACCTGTTGCCATTTGTCGCTGGTGGGTCAATCGGTCCAGATGGTCAACAGTCGCGACAGTTGACCTTTGTGACTGTTGATCCGATACTGCACTTGTTACAGGATGATCCGATACTGCCGTGAGTGTTGCGACGGGTGTGATACAGCTGCACCTACGGGAATGCTATACTTATCCCTTCATATCCCAATACCCCCCTTCGTTCCTGGAGGTGCGCCACGTGGCTCTTTTGAACAACTCCGCACAGGTCCGAGCAGTACAGGAACTTCTGACGTGGGAGTTTTTTCGTCAAGAAGCCAGCTGCCGTTTTGCTAGTTGGGCAGTAGGTGAGCTGGACCTTTCCCTTGTCAATTTTGTCCTTGACGAAGAAGTAACGCAGGGCAATGTGTTTCATGCGGTTGGCGAAGCCTGGCTTGTTCGCGATCTTGATCGCGCTTTGGTTGTCGCAGAGAGACTTGAGCGACACGTTCATCTCTGTCCTTGTTTCGTGCACAAGCTCCGTGAGGTAGATTCCTTCACGAACTGCTGCACTGGCTGCAATGGATTCTGCTTTCGCTCACAAAAGGGCGATGAGCTCCTACTTCTGACAGTTCTAGGATATGATTCGTGCAGGCTCAAGTTTGTAAATGAAGCCTGGGTGTTGGTGCAACCCTACGGTTTGCACTCTGCTTGTTGTCCGTGTGCGTGCATGTGTGTGTGTATGGAATGGTATGAGGGCATGAGATAATATATATTTCATGCTTATAGTTGTGTGTGAATGTTGAGTCATGATGTCGAGTGTGTGTGTCGAGTCAATAGCGAGTTATCGCTGGACGCGTGTTACGCGGTCGTTCGTGTCTCGCGAGCGGTTTGTATTTTTGTCGTGCGCGGTTTCTATTTTGTAAAGAATGAGAACGAGAAAGGATGAACTATGAATGAAGTGGGTACTAGTACTAACCCTAATTGGGTTGTACCCCCTATGGGATACCCCACTATAGCCTACACAAAAGCATAAGCTATAATGTTCTGACATATTTTGTCCTGTGTCGAACGTTCGGTGTGTCGCAGATGTGTGCAGCAGACCCATCAAGAACTCAAGGATGAGTTTGTGATGAAGAGCCCGAGCCTTGGTGTCAAGCCTCAAGTGATTTCGAAGCTCGCCAAAAGGGTACACCTCAAGATATTGAAGATAGTTACATTACTTTGTGTAGTGTAACATTTCACTTGGTGTAGGCCCTAGTGAAGGGTAGTTTCGAGACCCTTCGTGGTTGGGGACAGTGTGGCACTGTTCCACATCACTGTACCTCGGCTCTTGGGGTTTGTAGGAGCTGGGAGTCATTCCCAACTCGTAACTCTTCATATCTCTTCCTATTTTGTGTTCTAAGAAGATAGTGGCTGCCATAGTGCCGTTCTTTCAAACCGGCACTGTGTCCTCAATACTTGGTGAAATTGTGCGATCTAAATTGCCTATTGTAGGCGATGTTCAGACGCTCCAGATCCAAGTTAAATCAAGTCATTTGAAGTTGTGACCAGAACGCTATGAACGTTTGAAGCCGCTGTGCAGAAATCCGGCTGTGCACTCTATCTTTCGTATTAGGCACATTGGAGCCTATTGTGACTATAACAAGTGGTATCAGAGCCCCTTGGAGCAGTTTCGATAATGGCTGGACCTGATGAAAGGGGTGGCAGAGGTGCTGGTGGCAGAGGAGAAGCCCAAGCTCAAGGCCAACCCCGTGATTCAGCCATGGCGCCTGTCCAACCAAGTGTTGGCCCATCTAGGGATGAGCCTAGAGTGTTTGGCCTTGACAAGTTCAATGGTGACAACTTTGCTGAGTGGTCCTTCAGAATGGAGAACATATTTGACCACTATGACCTGCTGGAGGTAATGGAAGGAACGGAGAAGCGTCCCGAGAACGACCCGGAGAAGAGCCCGTGGGTGCGGAAGAGCGCACAAGGCTACCTCCTACTTGGGCAAGCGTTTGGGAGCAGCCAAATCCGTCACATCAAGCCTTTCCAGCGTGAACCAGAGAAGGGACCAAAGGCATGGGCTGCTCTCAAGGGTGTACACGCTCCTGCAACAGCGGCGGTAGCTGTGGTGTTGGAACGGCAAATGGCGACACTACGAATTGAAGAGGATGAAGCGGTTGAAGAAGGGGTGCAGAAATTCTTCGACTTGTTGACGCGGCTTGAGGGAGCTGATTTGAACTATAGTGAGCTCCAAAAGAAGACCAAGTTGCTGGCCCTACTCCCTGAGTCATGGTCCTCGCTCATCATCAACATCGCGACTTGCCCCGCCTCTCGCTTGAAGACGTGAAGCGAGCTATCCTTCAAGAGGATTTCCGCCGCCGTGAGTTGGCGAGTGCGGATGGCGCTGTGGCAGCAAGCATCGGCCGTGGATATGGTCGAGGAAGAGGTAGAGGACGAGGGGGAGGAAGGTTTGGTGGCAGCAACTTTGGCGGAGGCCGCGGGAGTGGCGGTTACGGCAGCGACGACAAGAGCTACGGACGCGGTCGCGGCCGATTCGACGGCGAGTGTCACTATTGCCACAAGAGCGGACACATGTGGCGTGAGTGCTACAAACTCCCTGATGGTTGGACCCCTGCTCAAGGCCAAGAGGGTAGAGGAGCAGGAGGAGGGAGAGGAAGAGGCCGTGGAGGCCGTGGCGGTCGCGGTGGCGGAGCTGCAAACATGAAGAGCGAAGACAACGACAAGGACCCGAGCAACGATCGGTACCCGGGTCTATTCTACTTCGTGTCGACGCAAGTACCGACTGGTCCAGAGAAGGATGAAGTCTTTGAGGAGCCAGCAGCTGTGGGGAAGGTGACTCTACACTCTCTGGACTATTGGGTGATCGATAGTGGCGCTACCTATAGCATGACACCTCGCCCGGACTTGCTCACCGAACTCATACCGTCACCGGTGAAGCATGTCACATCAGCTTTGGGGCAGAGAGCGGAGGTGAAAGGCATGGGCAAGGCCATGTTTAAGGGTGCTGATGGGAAGATGTTGGGCCTCAAGAATGTGCTTTGGGTGCCCAGCCTTGCTGCCAACCTGATTTCCGTGCGGCGGTTGGCAAAGGCCGGCATGGACACGAACTCAAAGGGAGCCAAGACCTACACCGCAAGGCTTGGCGATCGGATTCTTTGGGACCTTCATGAGGACAGAGATGTCTACAACGAGATGTGGCAGATCCCTGTGGTCCCAATGCCTAAGGAGAGGCAATTGGCAGCAAGCGTCAGCACCAAAGGTGGAGCGGTTGGTAGCGGCGATTGCGCGGACGGTCGCGCTAAGGAGAAGGAGTCCAAGAAGTGCAATCTTGGAGGGAACAGCAAGCTTGGTGAACCTATGGAGAGAGGTGCAGCAGCCAAGGAGCAGCAAAAGGGTGAGGAGAACCCCGAGGCAGCAGCGGAGGAGGACTACGGAGAGAGTATGTGGGGCGCTATTGCGAGCGCGGCATTCTCCAATCCAACTTCGGCTACGGGGGAGTGTGATTGGCTCACCTTGCATCGGCGCATGGGGCATGTGGCCCTGCCCATCTTGCAGCAGCTAGTAAAGAAAGAGATGGTTGCTGGCATACGTGTGAAGGGGGAGCCCGATGAGGTACTTGGCTGCCCGACGTGCATGCAAGCCAAGTTCACCCGTTTCCCATTCTCTAGTTCGGAGGCAACGGCTAAGGCACCACTTGATGAGGTGGTAATGGACGTGGTGGGCCCCCTGAGGCTTGGAGCTGCTAGAGCTGAGTACTTCCTCACTATTGTGGACGTCTACACCCGTATGACTTGGGTGTACGTGCTGGCCAAGAAGAGCGACGTGGCTGAAACGTTGAAGGCGGATTGGTTCCCGATGGTGGAGCGGCAACAAGACCGTCTAGTCAAGTCAATCCGCACCGATCGAGGGGGAGAGTTCCTGAGCAAGGAGTTTGGGTTGTGGCTGAAGAAGAATGGTATTCGGCACTCCCTCACCATGCCATACTCCCCTGCAATGAACGGCATCGCCGAGCGAGCGAACCGCACAATCACGGTGGCGGCACGCGGGTTGCTCATTGAAGCCGGGCTACCCGACTATTTCTGGCCTGATGCGGTGCGGAGCGCGTGTGTGGCCAAGAACCGAGCCTTGAGTCATGTGGGAGCAGATAAATGGGTGCCCTATGTGGAGTGGCTAGGAAGGAAGCCAAAGGTGGATATGCTTCGGGTGTTCGGGTGCATGTGCATGGCGCTCGTGCCTAAGCATCTTCGGCACAACAAGCTTGGTGCCAAGGCGGTGTGGGCCGTGCACTTGGGCATGGCTCAAAACAGCAAGGGATGGCTTCTTTGGGACCCATTCACCAAGAAGTTCTTGGTGAGCAGGGACTGCAAGTTCATGGAGAACTTCATGTACAAAGATTGGAAGGCGGAGAATGAGGCGAAGATGGGCGTGCGGTTTGGGGAGGTGAAGAGTTCCGGTTTGGAGCATGTGGAGCTGCCTTTGGAGCTGAGCAGCGGCAGCACAACCACAAGGCGATCCTCCCTTGTGAATGGGGGAGAGGAGGCCAATGATGCAGAGGAAGAAGAGGAGGAGGTGCAGCAAGTGAGCGAGCGTGCACCGTCACTCCCTTCCCGTACTACGAGTGCTCCACGGATTCGAGCCACACCGCAGCAACGCCAAGGCCTTCAAGTCCCTGCAGCTGAGGAGGAAGGGAGGGGCAAGAGGAGAGTTCAACCCCCTAATAGGCTGACCTATGATGCGCCGGGAAAGCAGGGCAAGACAGCCCTGGCCGGAGCAGCAATGATGGTCGGAGACAACGAGGAGAGTGACTACGAGGAGTGTGCCTTCGCGTTCTTCTCTCCGGTGGAGATGCCGGGAGAACCAGCAACTCTCAAGGAGGCTTTGGAGAGTAGTGATGCTGAGGAGAGGAAGAAGGCCATGGAGAGTGAGCTGAAGAGCATCAAGGAGAATGACACGTTTGAATTGGTGGAGCTACCGGAGGGGCGTACGGCGATAACGTCCAAGTGGCTCTTCAAAATCAAGTCGGATGCCGACGGCAAGATCGAGCGCTACAAGTCTAGGCTTGTAGCCAAGGGGTACCAGCAGAAGGAGAAGGTGGACTTCAAGGAGCTGTTTGCCCCTCTGGTGAAGCCGACGACACTGCGAACCCTATTCGCGGGAGCCGCCATCAAAGGATGGGTAGTAAAACAAATGGACATCGTAACGGCATTCCTTAACGGCATCCTTGAGGAGGAGATTTTTATGGCACAGCCAGAGGGGTTTGACAATGGTAGTGGCAGAGTGTGGAAGCTGAAGAAGGCCCTCTATGGGCTGAAGCAGGCCCCTAGGCAATGGTACATGAAGCTGCGCGAAGTGTTGGAGGGGATCGGCTTCACTCCCTCAACGGCCGATCACTCCTTGTTCATGCTTGGCGAGGGGGAGCAGAGGAGCTTCATGGTAGTTTATGTGGATGACATTCTTATATTCTCACCCTCCTCTGACCTTGTGAAGGAGGTGATGCTGAAGCTGCATGACAAGTTCAAGTGCAAGTCCCTTGGTGACGTGAACTTCTACATTGGGCTCCACATCGAACGAGACGTGGAGAAGCGGAGCATGCGAGTGCACCAAAGGAAGTACCTGGAGGCGTTGGCCGCCAACTTCGGCCAGAGTGAAGGTCATGTGGCTACTCCCTTTCCCTCTGGGTTCAAGTGTGTGAAGGGACCAGAGGAGGAGAGCGTTTGTGAAGAGGAGAGGCGCCGTTTTCACTCGTTGGTGGGCAGCCTCATGTATGCGGCGGTAAACACCCGACCGGACGTCGCGTTTGCTACCAAGCAGCTGGCTAGGGTTGTGCAATGCCCTAATGAGGAGCAGGTAGCAGCTGGAATGAGGGTGGCCAAGTATCTTGGCCAAACACCGACCGTTAAGCTGCAATACTCGGCGGGGGCACAAAGGCGCCAAAAGGGCGCGGATGGTGTTGAACCCGGGCGTTTGTTCCTCACCGCCTACTCGGATGCGTCATATGCATCGGAACCAGAAGACATGACAAGTGTGGGAGGCTTCATATGCTGTGTTGGTGGAGGCCCAACTGCTTGGGAGAGCAAGAAGCAGGTTGACCAAGCTTTGAGCTCGGTTGAGTCCGAGTACATGGCACTCTTCCATACCGTACGGGAGATTGTGTGGCAGCGGCGTTTGTTGGCTGAATTGGGGGAGGAGCAGCAAGGACCTACCCCACTCTACTGTGACAGCCAGGGTGCCATTGCTCTTGCTAAGAACCCTGTGTTGCATGGACTCACAAAGCACATGAGGGTGAAGTGGCATTGGACGAGGAGCATGGTGACCGCGGGTGAAGTTGAGTTGCGGTACGTGAAGACCACGGGGCAGCCGGCTGACATGATGACTAAGAGGCTGGTGGAGCAGCAGCATTGGAAGTGTTGCAAGCTGGCTGGGATGGCTCTGAACTGAGAGAGCAACATATCCTAAGGCCAACAATCCGAGGGGGAGTTTGTTGGTGCAACCCTACGGTTTGCACTCGGCTTGTTGTCAGTGTGCGTGCATTTGTGTGTGTATGGAATGGTATGAGGGCATGAGACAATATATATTTCATGCGTATAATTGTGTGTGATTGTTGAGTCATGATGTCGAGTGTGTGTGTCGAGTCAATAGCGAGTTATCGCTAGACGCGTGTTATGCGATCGTTTGTGTCTCGCGCGCGGTTTCTATTTTGTCGTGCGCGGTTTCTATTTTGTCATGTGTCGAACGTTCGGTGTATCGCAGGTGTGTGCAGCAGACCCATCAAGAACTCAAGGATGAGTTTGTGATGAAGAGCCCGAGCCTTGGTGTCAAGCCTCAAGTGATTTCGAAGCTCGCCAAAAGGGTACACCTCAAGATATTGAAGATAGTTACATTACTTTGTGTAGTGTAACATTTCACTTGGTGTAGGCCCTAGTGAAGGGTAGTTTCGAGACCCTTCGTGGTTGGGGATAGTGTGGAACTGTTCCACATCACTGTACCTCGGCTCTTGGGGTTTGAAGGAGCTGGGAGTCATTCCCAACTCGTAACTCTTCATATCTCTTCCTATTTTGTGTTCTAAGAAGATAGTGGCTGCCATAGTGCCGTTCGTTCAAACCGACACTGTGTCGTCAATACTTTATGAAATTGTGCGATCTAAATTGCCTATTGTAGGCGACGTTCAGACGCACCAGATCCAAGTTGAATCAGGTCATTTGAAGTTGTGACCAGAACGCTATGAACGTTTGAAGCCGCTGTGCAGAAATCCGGCTGTGCACTCTATCTTTCGTTTTAGGCACATTGGAGCCTATTGTGACTATAACACTGGGCGGGTCCTTCTGTTGTATGCTGTCGGACATACATGATATAGCCTGTGTAGGCTGTAGTGGGGTAGCCAATAGGGGGTACAACTTTTCTAGGGTTTCATACTTGTACCTTTCTCATTCCTTGTCAATTCATTCCTCGTTATTATTGTCACATGGTATAGAGCGGGTTCCCTAGTGAGACCGTTTTTTTCCACCACTTCGATTTTTTTTCCAACCCCTGCCCGAAGCGCGCATTGCACTCTGCCCTTAGGCCCGTCGTGCTCTGCGCGGCCCGCCCTGCTGTCGCGGCCCCTAGCGGCCTGCCCCTCCCATCGTGGCCCGTCGCGGCCTGACCCTGCCGTCGTGGCCCGTCGCAGCCTGACCCTGTCGTCGCGTCCCGTCGCAGTCGACCCTGCCGTCGCGGCCCGACGCAGCCGACCCTCCCGACGCGGCCCCTCTACGGCCCGTCGCCACCCTGCCGCGAACCGCCCTACTGCCCTTACGCGAGCGGCCGTGCCGCTTTTCGCAGCCCTTCGCGGCCCGCCCGCCCCGTCGCCGCAGCCCGCCTGCTCGTCGTCGCGGCCCTGACCTGCCGCCACTTCCGCGGCCCCCTGACCTCCCGCCTCCGTCGCGGCCCCCCCTTGACCTGCCGCCTCACGTCCAAGGCAAATTTTTTGTTTTTGAAAGCACGGAAGGCTCCGGGTTCCCCTGAGAAAAGACCTTGAAGAATCAGCAATCCCTCAAAAGTTTCCCTTCCTCGTCCGTGCGTTTTTCCCAAAATCCGAAAACGCACAACAGCGGTTCATCACCTTAGGCGCAAGAGGCTCTAAAACGCCCAAGTCAAATGGGCAAGGACTAACAAACCTAACACTTACATCATATCTGAGTAAGGAAATTATATGGACTTTGCATTCGACACCCCCACACAAAAACTAGTACCGAGCTAATAACTCATGATGGTTATCGAAACAATACTGAAAGACCCGATTGCTCGGCCAAATCATCCGGAAATGATCCGGATTTTTTTTTTAAAATAATCGTGATGAATCAGGATTCATTGGAAAAACATACGGAATGTACCTGAGAATCAGGATGTTTACCCTGATACCAAGCCCTGCTCACGGTGCCGTTTCATCATATGTATGAATAAGGACATTATATGTAAGGACATCATATATGACTTGGGCGTTTCATCATGGCTAGTCCTAATGTCCTTACCTTCGATGCTGAGGGTCGAGCGGTCGATATTGAGGTCTAGGTCGATGATCTGCAGCTCTTTCTGCAGTGCGATAGCAAGGATGGACTATCGCTTTTTTATCTCACGTCTGGCGCCTCTGCTGCACCTGCTGCCAATGCTGACAGTACTCTTCGCTCGCAGTGGACCACGCGCGATGCTGCTGCCCGTCTTGCTATTCGCAGTCACCTACCGTCTGCTGAGCGTGCGCACTTTAGCCAGTACAAGACCGCTAGGACTCTGTACGACGCTGTTGTTGCGCGCTACTCCTACCCTGCCACTGCTGCCCTTAGCCGTCTCATGCTGCCGTACCTGTTCCCTGACCTAGCTGCGTTTGCCATAGTCGCTGACCTCATTACGCACCTCTGCACAAGTGACACTCGCTACCGCACTGCACTTCCTGCTGAGTTTTGCGCCGCGAACCCCCCCCCCTATGTACGTCACTCTCTACTACCTCGTCACCCGGCTCCCTGACTCCCTTCGCTCGGTCAGGGACCACTTCCTCTCCCTTTGCCCCACCACGCTCACCGTTGACCTCCTTGAGGAGCGCCTCTTTGCAGCAGAGAAGAGTATAGTCGCTGTAGGAGCCTCTCGTGGTGACCCTCGTGCCCCTTTCTTTGAGGGGTGCTCCCCCGTCCCTCTTTTGCCCTGTGTTGCCTCTGCTACTGCTGTCAACCTCGTCGGCACCGAGTCGGTCGGCGCTGCGTCTGCTCCTAGTGGGAGGCGCCGCCACGGCAAGGGCAAGGGGGGCAAGGATGCTGGAGGGGATGGTGGGGGCGGCGGTGGTGGCGGTGGAGGCGGCAAAGGGGGTGGGGGTGGAGGTGGGGGTGGTGGCCGGAGTGGGGGCTTCGGTAGCGGTGGTGGAGGTGGAGGCGGCGGAGGTGCTCTCTGAAGAGCAACCGACCACCGCTACCTGAACTGATGCAGAAACTTAGTGGCATGATTGGAGTTAGAATCGGCGTTGAAGTGGCGTCGAGCGGCCGTGTCTGCCAGGAGTTTCAGGAAGACGGGGACCTTTGCACACAGGCAACCATAGGTTTCCATCGCTAGTGGAAAGAAGCCGACTGTCTCAGGTCTGTTCGCATAGTGTTGAATCTTTTTGTCCGCCTGCTCTCTGGCCGCCCATCCTCTGCCTTTCTACGCCTCTGGGTCCCATGTGCTGATGGGGTCTGTCACACTTACATCACACACCCAAACCGCCCCGCTGCTCCTGTCGTTCATGGTGAAATCGGCCGTCTGCTCCTCGATGGGACAATGGGCGGCCGATTCGTTGTGGACACCGAATCCCACATCCTGAGCCATGCTAATGCATGCATCCTGCAGCTCGTTGTGGGTGTTGATGCGATGCTTGCTGGTGCCACACAGAAGGATGTGATTTGGGAGGCAGGGGTCCTTGATTTCGACGTGGTCCGCACAGTCACAGTTCTTGGGAGTGGAGAAGGGCAATCCGAGCCGGAATCTGACCACGTTGGCAAAATGTACCGGTCCAATGCGCCTTGTCGGAGCTATGGGTATCGCTGGGTGGCGGTGGCGGCAGCGGCGGTGGGGGTGGCGGCGGCGGTGGTGCTGGTCGGGGTGGCGCTGTGCAGCGGGGAGGCTTTGGCGGTGGTCAGCGCCAGCAGCAGCAGCACCCTCGAGAGACCTTGTCGCCCCACCAGCTACGTGAGTGGTACGCTGGGCGTCAAAGGTCTGGGGGTGCCGGTCCCTGCACTTACGTTCTCCGCACTGGCAACCGTAGTGGGGAGAGGTGTGGAAGACCACACGCCACACTGCGCTGCTTTGGCCGCCTGACTAACGCTTGGCGTACGCAGTTTCCCGACCCCCGAACATCCGACCACAAGGTTGGCTCCGCCCAAGCGAGGACGGGGCCTTACAACGCTCCCGTTGACACTCCCCTGTCGCGTTCAAGCTTGGGCCCCCAGCCCACACGGCAGTACAGCTCCGAGAATAGCCCGTCGGCATGCACCCAACACACAGCACGCCGGTCACCGCACCAGCCATGCAAGAGGGCATGGCACCTACTGCTGACGTCGTTGTCGCCGTCGCCCACGTTGGCCAAGCGCACCTGGCCGAATGCGACAGAGCACCGGTTGAAGGCCGGATAGTGCAGCGCCTTCGTCAGGAAGTCGGCTGGCTGCTCAGCCGTCGGGATGTACTTCAGCAAGAACTTCCCTTGCTTCTTCATGTGCTGCACCCAGGCCTGTCGCCGCTCCATGTGCTTGAGGTTGCCTGTCAATCCCATGCTCTTGGCGACCGTGATGGCCGACTTGTTGTCCACGCGCAGGATAGTCGGCTTCCCGGCGTCCAGCTGCCGGAACTCGACGTGGAGGAAGCGAAGGCAGCGTCCCTCCTTGCCAGCTTCAGTGGCCGCCACGTACTCCGACTCGGTTGACGACAGCGTCGCACACTTGATGCGCTGGCTCGACCAGGAGACTACGGCCCCACCGTAGACAAACACGTAGCCACCCGTGCTCGTCCTGTTCTGCTTGTCAGTGGCGTCGTCGGCGTCCACGTAGCCGACCAGCTCGAGCGACTCAGGTCCACCGCCGAACTCCAAGGTGGTGTCACGTGTGTTGGCGAGGTAGGCAAGGCAACGGTCGACCTCGCGCCAGTGCTGGTTGCTCCACACCGTGAGGCCGCTCCCCAGCTTGCTGCAGGCAAAGGCGATGCCCGTCCTCGTCGTTGTCGCCGCGAACTGCAACAAGCCGACCTTCTGCCGGTACTCCTCCTCCTGGCGTTCCTGCGCCTCCTCGTCATCGAAGGTGAGCTCGGCGTAGGCGTCGACCGAGACCGGCGTCTTCGGGGCGCCGAAATACACGCTGAGCAACAAGACATGGACCTGCACGAGGAGCGGCAGAAGAAGGAAACCTCAGTACCCGAATTTGCATTCCACACTCAACGACGCTACAACAACAACCGGCATCAACCAAAACCCGTACCTCCATTTTGTCATCCTTGCAAGACATCAGGACACCCTTGCACACATTGCCCGAATCGACAAAAGCCAACACCGCTGCAACGACAACTCCGTCCTTCAAGCAGCCAAGTAGCATCCACAGAGGCGCACCCCACGAGTCAAATGCAGTCTTCAACAACATCACCGACACAACCTGCACTAGGAGCAAGAAACATTGTGAGCTGCATGGCGAGACTGCTAGACTCCTGCATCACCGAATCACCACCACACTACTCACCAGAAGAACTGCTCGATGAGAGCACTCCTTGTCGCGAAACACTGGAGCCGAACTCGACATACGCAGCCATCGCCAAGAGCGAGCCATCCGGGAAGGACACTTGGTTCTTGGACAGCTGCTGCGGACAACATATGTGCTCCTCGGGTTGCTTCGTTCAGCGCAAAAACCAACTCCCTGGCCTAAATCTGTGCGAGGATAGGCTCGGCCGCAACATGTCACTGTTTCAATGTCTGGGTTTTGTGTTTACCTCTTATCTTCACACAGTTCCCTAGTACATCCTATTGCCTTGCCATATGAACTAATTGGAGCTCGTTAACACGACTACACAGCTCCTGACGCTTGTTTGTGCGATTGCTGGCCTGAAACTGTCCAAGGGTAGGCCCGTTCGACACGTTATGCCAAACCAGCATCCATTTGTTATTTATAATAGTGTTTCTTTTGATCATTCAACGATTTAATATATTCTTGGCGTGCTGGTCAGGTTTGGTGTCATTCGCCGCGTTTGGTAGGGAGACATTATGTTCCAAACATGCGAGGATGGAGAAATGTGCAAGGATAGGCCTGTGCTATTACGCGGTGCCAAATCAACGTCTCTTTGCATTTTTTTTGCAAATGTGCGAGGGTATTAGGAACCTACCGGAAAGATCTCAACGATATTATCAAGAAGAACGAGACATAAGCATTATACAGTTTGCATAGGAAGTGCCCATAAACGCCTGGTGGTTCGTATCAACAACATTCTATGTACGATCCTATTTTCATTTATGGAGCAATATATAAAAATCTCATACAACCTGTGGTGTATGATGCTAATTGAGGAGTTGTTTGTATGATCAATGTATTTGTTTCAAATACTAAGGGCACTGCAGTCATAAACCTCACTATTTGATCTATTGATCAGATATTGCCTACATTTGTTATCATTTGTGACAGTTTGTTTGTTTAATTTTCTAATTTCAAAGTTGGGCCTCAAACAAATGTGAGCACGTTAGTGGGCTGGTCTTTGAAGAGAAACTATTGTGTACAGTAGGATAGAGAAACTTACAGCATTGCAGTTTCTCAAACTGCCAGCTCGAGCTGGAAGGAGTACAGCCCATCCCGCCAATCTTTGTATCCCTCCTGCTCGCGGTTCGTCCAGGTTCATTTGTTACCAGCTGCGCTGGCAGTCGAGCGAGCCTTCCAACTCACACAGCGATATATTCTCGGCGAATCAAGTTTCCTTTTGCCATCTCCGCCAGCATGTCTCTTGCCACGCGAAGTTTTCTATGCCACGCTGGTTGCTTCTACTGGGTTCCAATTCATTCCTGGCGGTGCGCCAACTCGACCTTGTGAAATGAGTAAGGAGGAATGAAATGACTAAGGAAAGATTGGGTACAAATACAACCCTAGAAACCCTGTACCCCATATGTGCTACCCCACTATAGCCTACAGCAACTATGTCATATAAATCTGACAGACCTCACCCTCCCCCCTCTCCCACTTTCCCGGAGGTTCACTCTCCAATCACTCGCTCTTCCTTGTTCCCTCCCTCCCTTCAATCTTCCTCCCTTGAACGCCTATTACTCCAGGATACCTCGTCTTTCTTTTTTCACTTCTTTCTGCTCGGTTGACGTATCTGCTCCCGTCAATCAGCTCCCGTGACTCCTCCTATCCCGATGCTAGTTTCTTAAATCGAGGTACGTCTGCCATCTCTTCGTAGGTGTTTCGACTTTCCCGTTTCCAGAGTATTTTTCTTTTGTTCATCGTTCTCGACTCATGCGGTTACGTAGTTTTCCGCGCTGACCAAGCTACGTAAGTTAATATTCTTACTAACCGCGTGGTTTAGCCAGCGTATTGTTTCTGCCAAACATATGACCTGAGATCCGTGTTCTTATAGTTACATTTTTTGTGCACTACTGCTTTTGTCTTTACAGGCGTGCAATAATAACGCATGCTGGGAGATATGCACGCTACCATGCTGTAAGGTGCGGTAAGATCTCAGTCACGCTTGAGGAAATTAGAACGAGAATGAAAATGACTATGGAATGAAAGTGATACAAATATGCAACCCTGAAATGTGTACCCCATATGGGCTACCCCACTAAAGCCTAGACAACATTTATAATTTGACACACCCACATAGGCAAAGTGGGGGAGAACAAGGGGTCACAAGACCAGTCAAGCAAAGCAAAGCAAAGCTCAGGGTGGATCACAAAGTCACCACACATTACGAGCACAAGTTCAAGGCCAGAAAGGCCAGTTCACATGCAGGAGCATATATATATAAGAGGCTAAGCAAACAAGAGCAGGTGTATATATATGTGACAGTACAAGCAAGGTCAAGAAGTGAGCAAGTGAGGCAAGATAGGCACAAGACCAAGCTGAGTACAGAAGCGCTGATGATCACAAGGCGCAAGTGCCTTGGTGAAAACATCAGAAGTGTTGGCCTCAGAGGCCACGTACGCATGCCGCAACTGACCACGCTGATGTAGCTCACGAGCAAGGAAGTAGCAAAGAGCAATGTGCTTTGTTCTGTGCTCCAGTCTCTGCCTTCAACACAAGGCAAGCATGGCCTTGTTGTCTACGTACAGTACTGGAGGAGAATGAGGCGGCTCTCCGAGGTCGTTCAGCAGGTAAGTGAGCCAGCGAAGTTCCTCTGCAGCCATGGCCCCGGCGTAGATCTCGGCCTCACAATTGGAACCGTGAACAGAAGACGTGCGAGTAGCCCGCCACGAAACAGAGCCGGAGCCAAGGCTGAAGGTGTAACCCTGTGACAACCGCTGCGTAGCCTGGTCGTCAACCCAAGAAGCGTCCGCGTGCCCAGTGAGGACCACTGGACTCCGCCCTCCAAGCACTAGCCCCATGCCCGACGTACTGCACAAGTAGCGCAACACCCTCTTCGCTGCAGCCATGTGCTCTGGTCTGTGTCTCCCAGGAGCAACATAGCGTGCAAGAATGCTAAGAGGGTATGCAAGGTCAGGTCGTGTGCAGGTCATCAGGTACATGAGGCAGCCAACAAGCTCTGCGTACGGGCCACTCGACTCTACTGACTCATCCGAAGGCAGAGCTGAGAGCGAGTGGCGAGTAGGCAGAGGAGTGGCCTGAGGCGAGGAGTACGTGAAGCCGAAGCGCTGAAGGACCTGCTGCACCATGTGTGACTGAGTCAGGGTAATGGTGCGCTGTGCTCTGTCCCGGGTGATCTGCAAGCCAAGGTAGCAGCGCAATTCACCCAGGTCTGTGCACGTGTGTCTCTTCTGCAGCTCGGACTTCACGTGGGCGAGTCCAGCAGTGTGAGCTGTGGCAAAGACCAAGTCGTCCATGTACACGAGGATGTAGAACGGCGGCAAAGAGGTGTCGGTGCGTAGAAACAGTGACGGGTCAGCAGTAGAGGGAGCAAACCCAAGAGCCACAAGCGTAGTCCTCAATGTGTCGTGCCACTCGCGCGGTGCCTGGCGGAGACCGTAGACTGGCCGTCGGAGGCTCCACTGGGTGCCAGGAGGGAAAGTCCTAGTGAAGCCAGGTGGACGGTGCAGCCAGATCTCCTCGTGCAGGCTACCCTGCAGGAAAGCAGTGCTGAAGTCAAGGGAGTGAAGCTCGTAGTCACGCTGAGCGGCTATG